AAAGAACCTAGTGAACTAGCGAATCATCCCCCCTATCGACCGAAGAGCGCCCTTCCCGGTTATGAAACAAATTTTCCTGTGCGACTCCTTCAAATACGCCTCCAACAGCCTTGATCTAACGCCTTACGCGAGCCTAGTGGTAAGCTGAACACGATGATGTTGTGAGCTCTTCAGAAACTTAAACCAACCTTATAGTAATCATTATCGTAACACGATCGCATCAATCCAAAATCAGCGATTTTGATGATCCGTTGATCTCCGACTAAGCAATTCCTTGAGGCGAGGTCGCGATGAACAAAGGCCATCGATGCCAGGTATTCCATTCCATAGGCTATCTGAACGTGCTTATGAGTAGCTAGTATGAACGTAGTCATTTCTTTCAATATTTACAAACTCTCATTCAATCTCCATTTAGCAAACAGTCCCGAAAAATATTGAATATCAGGATAAAATGAAGAAAAGAGGGAGATGAGCATCGCCATGTTCGTCACCTAACGCGATAATACTTTTTTTTCGCAAAAACGCGAGGCGGCAAACTATTACCACTATATCCTTGCAACTCTTGGCAGTGTCAGCTCAAGTGAAGGCGAAAGGGGGAACAGGGGGTAACATGCTGAATTGCTAGTTCCGTAGCATCTTCATCTGGTGGGATCTCCACTAAGCTTTACAGGAGTTTACAGTACAGAATGGTCTACGAACTTCTATGAGAAGACTTGAGTAGACTTCTATGAGTCGGCTACGAGAACTCACAGGAAAGAAACGTTGCAAGAAAACTGGCAAGATGCCCCCTAGCAGAATAGCGCCCAACTCTTTCGTAGCGAGAAGGAAATAGTCCTGCATGGAATGAAAACTCCTAAAAAGCGGCTTGAAAGCCAGGAATGACACTCTAGATTTGTTGTTTTTTCAAATTTTTTTTCACATTCATTTTTTCAAATCCCGAAAACAATATGAAAGAAGGTGGAGATACGCATTCCTGCTTTACCCACGCGCCCGTGCTCCCAAAAGAGTTTCACCAGAACAAAGGTTTTCGTATCCAAACATTCTTGCTAACCGTCAACGAACTCTATCAAGAACTCTTTGCAGTAAGCAAACACAGCTCCGTAGACCTCACAGGAAGTAGTAAAAATCAGTTTACATTTTATATGCAGAATCTTCAGGTTAACAGACTCACTTGAGTGGCTATGCTCATGAAGTCATTACTGTCGTCGGCTGGATTATGATCCGGATGAGATGGAGCACGTATTCTGAGGAACTCGTGCAGATCACCGTTGACCATGTACTCAAACACCGCTGATAATCGACCATTCAGGTAAGCGACACCTAAATCCCAGAATTCAGAACAATTCATTGAAACCAACTGAATCCTTAAAAAGAACCTACCGAGCAATCGAATGACACGTGAGGATGATCGAACGACGCCACGGTCCTTACTTCCTCTTCGAGGCTGGCCCGATCAGCATTGGTCGCATCGGCACGAACTGACTTGATGGCTACCTAGAACAAACTAGTGAGTTTCCGGCTCTCTGAATAACGGAATAAGTTTGGTACCTGAAGGGGATCGCCATTGATCAAGCCACCTGTCCAAAAGCCTTTGTAGACCACTCCGAACTGCCCTTCTCCTAGAAGATCGCCCACTTTGATCTGCAACATCACAAGTTACTACTCGTCCTTCTCCAAGATTTCCATGGAGTCTCTAACCTGATTTGCAGGAATCTCCAATATGTGATAGGGTTCATCAGCGTGAGGATCATGAGGTACGTGAAAAGGTTCGCCGTATGGTGGTGGAACGGCATGTGACGGTAGAAGTGAGGCCATTTCCATCGGACCACTGCCGATTCCAGCACGGGACATAATCGGTGTAGGAAGTGCCATTCATTTTCCGCTGATAGTAGGCAGAGTTCGCAGCGCTGAAAAATCAACAATTATTGCCGTGAACTCGGAAGACTTCCACGAATTACTCACCTATTCACAACAGATGGAGGGTTCGTAGCAGGCAGGAGGGAATGAGCAGCAGAAGT